CTAGAAAAGTCCAGCGCTGGCCTACAGCCAACAGCCTGGGCATTTACCTCTCCCAGAGGGGAAACCCAAAAAAAAAACACACACACACACACAGAGCAAGGGCAACATGACCGCAAGAGGGTCTCTCCTCTCCCTCCCTCCCTCCCCCCCCATGGATAACCCCCCCCCCAACCAACCTCCCCTCAGCGACCCTTCCCAGGAAACAAAAAAGCAAAAAACCCGGGGGGGGGGGGGGGGACTTGGGGGGGGTTCAGGCTTGTCTGCAAAGAGAGCCCACTGTAAGGAAGGAGAGGACCCCCCCCACACACACACACACAAATTCCTGGGTCGTGTGGGGGGGGATACTCACACGCCCCACCGTTGGGTGAGGGTCCCCTCCATGTCCTCGCTCTTGGGGAGGGGGGTCCCCGAGGCCTCTTCTGCTCTCTCTATAAGCCCCCCTCCCCTCAGAAGGAACCTTTCCCCCCTTCCCCAAAAGAGCCCCCCCACTCTTGTCCTTCCAGCTGGGGGCGCCCCCCCCCCAAAAAAAAAAAATTCCTCCCAGAAAAGTGGGAGCGAGTTGGCCGTTGCTGAGGGGAGGAAGGGACGGGTGGGGGAGGGCAATGGTGGCGAACGGGGCATTCGGTTGCCCGACACCCCCCCCCTCCCCGAACCCGGACGGGAAGAGAGAGGGTCCAATTCGCTTACCTTCCTCTCTCCGCCACCAAAGCTCTCCTCAGCGACCAGAGCGCCCACTCGGGCTCAGCCTCCTGCATCACTTCCGGGGGGTGGGGCCTTGGCGGAGAGAGGGAGGGAGTCAGCTGGCGGCGCGGGTGACGTAGGACGCGCTCCTTTTACGCGCGCGCACTCGCTTGACGCCGCACGCAGCGTAAGGGCACTTTGAGGCTTTGGGGGCTCTTCTTTTTTTTTTCTTTCACCCCCACCCCCTCCCCTCGTTTTCGTCGTCTGCGGAGGTGAGTGAGGAAGAATATTTATGTTGGGGAGAGCGGGGGGGGAGAACTGTACCCTCCGGGTCCAAATGTGTGTGTGTGTTGAGAACAAAAGTGCTAGTTCTGCAGGTGAATCCCAAAAGGTGAATGGGGACGAGCGAGGAGCGTCTGTCCCAAAGACGAAGAGAACATCCCGAAAACAGGAGGCACGGCAGAGGTGACCCTCCCCCCCCACCCCGCTTCTATATTGGTATCGCCCACACGGCTCTTAAGTTGGACAGAGCAGCAGCAGCAGCAGCAGGGCATGCGTTTATTTTTGCCCTCTCCGATAGGGGGCGCTACAGGGTGGCAAGATGGCGTCATTCTTGTCAATGAAACCTGAACCAAACTAGGACCCATTTGTGGTCCCTGCTGGAAGCATTCATGAGTTTCCTTGGCAACAAGATTTTATTTTAATTTATTTTAGGTAGGTAGGTAGGTAGGTAGATGGTAATGATAGATGATAGATGGATGGATGAATGGGTGGATTTAGGTAGGTAGATTAGAGAGAGAGAGAGAGAGAGGTATAGATAGATAGATAGATAGATAGATAGATAGATAGATAGATAGATAGATAGA